TGATAGCTTTCAGCTGTGGAAACAGTGACCACTTTCACTATTGCAAATAATCTCTTGTATCAGATTACAATGTAAAATAAACAAAAAGGCCATTTACAGACACAAATATAGCACTAAGTATGGCTTTTTTCATCTAACAAACAATAGCTGGAAATAAATTGCAGGGAAAGTAAAATCTTCCCTTGGAACATGGACTCTGAAAAGATTCAGTAGTTATTTATTGGAGCAAAATGCAGGACAATGTAGCACTTTAAAGACTAACAAGATGGTTTATTAGATGATGAGCTTTCGTGGGCCAGACCCACTTCCTCAGATCAAATAGTGGAATTTATAGTTATTTATTGGATTTATCCTTAAAATTCAAGGTCTTGCTTGCTCTATGGACATTAATGATCCCATGTCTCATTTCACAACATAAGGAGTTTGCACACTGTATAAAAGTAGGAAAAACTTGGCAAGGGAGCAAAGTGGAAGGTGTTTTGTACCCTTGAAGCCAGAAATGTTTGCATTTCGGTGATGCTGTACGTATTGTATAGATAAACTATGGCGCATGGAAAACACTTTGGGATGAAAAGTGATGCAACAGAATGAATGCAGGATTCTCTACTGCCTGTAGCTTTGTGCAGTCATCTACAGAGAGCAAAGTGCAACCATTCTGATTACATAGGAACAACTTAACCATGCAGGAGAAGATGGCAGGAACAGGAGTAAGCACTGTGTTTCACTTATCCACACAATGAAACTCCTCTGGCTCACAGCACAAGAATCCTCTCTGAAAAGCCACAAGTCCTTCCCTACTTCCTTCTGCATCATAAACCACATTAATGCCCTCTCCCTACCTAGACTCTACTGCTTCTGGCAGAACCCTCTTGCCTCTCAAAGAGGACATTGGGAAGAGAAAGGATAAGCTGTGAAGTGTATGAGAATCTGAGGGAGACTATGTCTGTAGGTGGGGATCAGGGGATATGGGGCAGTGAGAGATCTGAGGGGAAGTGGATATCTCTTGCTGTAAGTAATGGGGGAACTCTGAGGAGCAGAGGGATCCAGGCAGAGGAGAAGCAGCTCAAGACACAAGTGGAGAGAACATGGGGGTTGGGAAGCACTAGAGTTTCTTTACCTTCTATACCCAACAAATCTCCCATTTGGAGCTTTGCATGTTACGTAACCCAAGTATATATTGCTTCCTCCTTCCCCTTCTCCAGCAGCCTGTGCTGCTCCTCAGCTCTTCCATTCTGTTATTTGTCCTCCATCAATGTTGTCCCTTCTTGGCCTACCACATGCCTAGGGCTCATAGGGCAAGCATAAGACCCCAGAGACACCCTTTATGGTTCCTGGAGATGTCAGAGGGCTCAGTGGAGGGTTGATACACTTACTGGCAACGCCATACTCCTGTACACCTTCTAAGCTCCACTGGAGACAGGTTGCTTGCCTAAGACAAGTGTACATTAGTGGGGCTTCCCAACTCAGATGGCAGGAATTCACAAGGAAGGGGGGGGGGAGGGAAGAGATCCCCTAAACTTTGCTCCCCGCTCTGCTGTTACAACTCCCCAGTACATATACAAGAATTTAACAAATTCCTGATCAGGCAAACAGGATACTAAAGGCAACCATCCATCACACTTCATTAAGGGCCAGTACTTCTGAGCTGCTGAAAGCACTGAGTATCTGACAGGATTAGCCTCTGCCTCATGTGGTAGCTAATTACTTAAGTGTCACTAGACACAGAGCTAATTGTCTCTTACCAGACAATACTATCAGAGAACATACAGGAAAAAAGGAGCTTTTAGTGCTCAAATCACGCTTACTATCTGAGATGTGTGTGACATGAATTATTAAACCTGTGTTCTATGACTCCATTTTTGATACTCTCGTGGAATGAGGAGTAACGGTAGTTCGTGCCCCGTGTAGCCGCGCTGCACAGGGTTCGAACGAGCAGGGTTTTAAAAATGGCGGCACCCCGCTTATGCAAATGAAGACCGGGAAATTCAAATCCCTGGCTTCATTTGCAAGTGCGGTATGCCTACATTACCCTCCTAGTTCAAACTAGGAAGGTAGTGTAGACATACCCATTTATAGCAACAGAACCAAAACAGTGCCACTGTGGTTAATCAAAAGTAAAAAAGCAGGGAGAATAAAAGGCTTTGTTTAAAAAGTGAAGTTAAAGCCTAGTGAGGAAAATCAAAAGGAACATAAACTCTGGCAACTGAAGTGTAAAAATATAATTGGGAAAGCCAAAAAAGGATTTGAAGAACAGATAGCCAAAACCTCAAAATATAGTAGCAAATATTTTTGAATACATCAGAAGCAGGAAACCTGTTGAACAGCCAATAGGGCCACTGGATGATCAAGATGCTAAAGGAGAATTCAAGGATGGTTAGGCTATTGTGGAGAAACTACATGAATTCTTTGCATCAGTCTTCACGGGTAACGCTGTGAGGGAGATTCCAAATCTGAGCCATTCTTTTTAGGTGACAAAACTGTCCCGGATTGAGGTGTCATTAGGGAAGGTTTTGGAACACAATGATAAATTAAACAGTAATAAGTTACCAGGACTAGATGGCATTCACCCAAGAACTCTGAAGGAACTCAAATGTGAAATTGCACAATTACTTACTGTGGTTTATAACCTATCTTTTAAATCAGTTTCTGTCCCAAATGACCAGAAGTTAGCTAACACAACACCAATTTTTAAAAAGGGCTCCAGAGGTCATCCTGACAATCAGTGGCCAGTAAGTCTAACTTCAGTACTGGGCAAACTGGTTGAAACTATAGTAAAGAACAGAGTTGTCAAACACACAGATTAACATAATTTGTCAGTGAAGAGTCTACATGGTTTTTGTAAAGGGAAATCATGCCGCACCTATCTACTAGTATTCTTTGAGGGGGTCAAATAAGCATGACAGGATACTGGGCAAGATGGACTTTTCGTCTAACCTTGTGTGGCTGTTCTTATGTTCAATATATTATTTTAGTGTCTTATGTACTAGGAAATAGATAGGAAGTGTGAGATCAAATTTATATTTTGATTGCCTTTATCAGATAGTAGCTGATATGGTAAGCTGAAAAGAAGTGCAAAAAAAAAATCTCCTTTAGATATGTGGGTGTACCTGGTGGGCACATTGATTTGGCATGTGGACTTTCTGAGTATTTGACATTCATGTACAAGGGCCTACTTGACCACTACTGTGACCATATGCTGAAGCATGAGATTCAGTCACTCACTATCACCTTGCAAAGGAACCAATGATCATAGTGTCTGGTTTGAAATTTGCAAACAGGTAAGATACAGTGGTCAAATTTTTCTGCTAGTGATACTGCTGCAAGTCTATACTGATCATGATAATGTTCTTGAGTCTGGATTAACACTGGTGGGTGGAGGGAATCTGGTCCCTGCTTACTAGAAATGGATCCTAGCTGAACCACCCAATGTGTTCCCTGGTGAACCTCCAATACTCACAGGGCCTTCTCAAGGCCCTGTTGCCTCTAGGAAATCCCCCCAACACTCACCTGTTGTCCCTGGGGAACACTAAGGTGACCACCCATCCCTAACTGGAAAGGACAGAGCTGAAAGGTACATTTCAAGTTGTGGTCCTAGACTGCATGACTCCCTAGGGCATCATTTGTCCTGGATTCCCTTCAGAGCAACTCAGCACATGCCATCCTCTCAGGGGTGAAGTCAGCCTCTTCCTGCTTACCAGAAAGCCCCAAACCTGCTCCTCTTCTTCCCCACAAGACCCTACCCTTGACCCAGCCAGAAGCTGGTGCTGGGCTGTAGTGAGAGCTGCCCAGGGACTGGAGGCCACCATTAGAGGTGCCAGGCATCCAGTTTTTGACAGCAACTCCCAGTCTAAAAAAGATCCTGGAGACTCCAGTCTGCACTGCTGATCAGGCCATTAAAAGTCTGGGAAATGACACAGCAGGGGCCCAGGACTAAGGCCCTCTACCTACCTGCCGTGGCTTCGGGTGGTTCTCAAAAGTGGACACTAGGTCCCTGCAGCCCTTAGGCACAGGAAGGCTCCATGCACTGCGCTTACCCCGAGTGCTGGCTTGCAGCTCCCATTGGCTGGGAACCATGACCAATGGGAACTGTGAGGCAGTGTCTGCAGGCATGAGGGCAGCACGTGGAACTTCCCTGACCACTCATGCAGCTAGGGGCTGAGGGACCTGGTGACCGCTTCCTGGGAGCCATGCTAAGCTATATTGGGACCTCTATGTTAAAAAAATAATAGAAAAAAATAGAAAGTAGCCCAACATCAACAATCTGGCATTTATTAACCAACCTTTCTATAGTAAACCAGGAGCGTTCCCTGACAGAATAGTGAGAGAATGGATTTTTAAAACATACAGTTGGTTTCAGGCTTCAGGGATTGTTACAAACAGCTTAGAGGGATAGAAATTATACTGACCATTCTGAAGAATGCTAAAACTGTTGCTTCCTTTGAAAAAACATAAAGTTCTGTATAAATTTAAAGCATAGGAGGTGTTGCAAACATTGTGCTAACCCATTCTCCAGGGAGCTCTCAGTGCTGGGGGCCAGTTTGTAGTGATCAATCCTCCTTATCCCCCAGCTCAATGTCTGGCAGACTGCAGAATGAACACCTAGTGGGAAATCGAATAGGGGCAAAACTATAAACTCAAGCCTACCTTCTGGCTCAGGGTGTATCCTGTGGGCATATTCAGACCTGCACTCAGGGTAGGCTCTGACATCATAATGACAGATGGCTGTAGCTTTTGAGTATATCCTATAGTACAGCTTGTGATGTAGGCAGCATCTCACCCAGGACTAGCCCCTGTGGTTTGAAATGGCAGGTGTTGCAGCAGTAATCAGTGGAATCCTCAGGATCTGGAGAGAAGGATGTAAAGGAAGGGGTAGCTGATGACCTGCTCCACTTCTTCTGAGACAGTAAAGCTTACTATGTATGAACAACCTAGAAGCATCGAGTTAGCAGACGTGGTGCTGGGATTAGCAGTCAATGTAGCTCAAAACAACACCATGGTTGTTAAAAATGTCTACCATGTTTATACACGACTGAAGAATCAAGTAGCTGACGCAGGGAGATTCTTCACAAATGGGATCATGTACACAACTCTTTGTAAAGTAGGCAAGCCCCAAGACAGCATGATATCAGACAAGCATCATTCCTTATAGCCCAGCCCCGGAAACAGAAATGTCCTTTCCATCTGCATAGGACAGGAATCTTATACCATTCTCTGCAGGATTGTGTGGTTGCCTCTATCAGGGTATGTCTACACTACCACCCTAGTTCGAACTAGGGTGGTAATGTAGGCAACCGGAGTTGCAAATGAAGCCCGGGATTTGAATTTCCCGGGATTCATTTGCATAAAGCTGAGCGTCACCATTTTTAAATGTCTGCTAGTGCGGACTCCGTGCTGCGCGGCTACACGCGGCATGGACTAGGTAGTTCGGACTAGGCTTCGGACTATCGTGAAACGAGGAGTAACGGTAGTTCAGACTAGGAAACCTAATCCGAACTACCTAGTCTGTGCCGCGTGTAGCCGCGTGGCACGGAGTCCGCACTAGCGGACATTTAAAAATGGCGGCGCCCGGCTTTATGCAAATGAAGCCCAGAAAATTCAAATCCCGGGCTTCATTCGCAACTCCGGTTGCCTACATTACCACCCTAGTTCGAACTAGGGTGGTAGTGTAGACATACCCCCTGAGACAAGATACTGGGCTAGATGGACCCTTTGTCTGATCCAGTATGGCAATTTCCTATACTTGACAAAGCTCCTTTGGTCTCTTGATCGGCTTTGCTTTCTTTCTTCAATGTGTGTCTTCTTGGAGATGAGCTGGAGCTAAAATAATCTGGTAAGTTTAAGAAGAAACCTGGTTTTCACTTTTGTGTGCAGCGAACAGAGTAGGAATAGAAGGATCTACTTTTTTTGGTTAAAGAAGATGGAAGAAAATGGAAAGCAACCCTTTGGCAAAGAATATTGTATAAGCAGCTCCTCTTAAGGCATAGAAAATACTTTATTTTATCATTCAGAAGTCCCAGTAGCCAGTTTACTGAACTTTTTGGAATATTGTACAAGTTGAACCTCTCTGGTCCAGCAACTTCCGTGGTCCGGCAAGCTTTTAGTTCAACAGATGTTCACTTATCACGAGTATGGCCAAGATTTCCGTGGTCACATAAGATGACATCCACCAGTCTTGACTCTCAGTGTTCTGTGCTGTTATTTAGTTCTAATTTACCCCTAAATGTCTTCTAAGAGCCCAGTAAGCTGTGGAAGTGCTGGTAATGCTGCTAGACAATATTGACCTCCCGTGGTTCGGCAAATTCAAGGCCCGAGGATACCAGACTAGAGAGGTTCAACTTGTATTACTTTTTACCTATCTGGACTGGTGAAGTACATTTTAGTGTTTATTTGCTAGGGCCTGCACAGGTTTGGAAACACCAAGTCCTCTGGCTTGTGTTTCCGTGCAGTGTCGATATGCCTTAAGGGCACAGAACATGAACTTACAAGCATATGATTAAATATTTTTAAACCCTGGGAAAGTAAGAAGCAAAAGTGGCGACGTGGCAACATTTTTGATGGCAAAAGTGGCGATGTGGCAAAGAATAGGAACATGTGAGGAGGATTTCTTCCAGGTTATTCAAGAGAACTCAAGAAATTGTGCCTTTCACATGATTTTGAAACAGCATTGACCAAAATGACAGCCGTACTGCAGGCTTCAGCACTGAATGGCTGCAGGGGGATTCCACAGCAACTTTTCCAGCTCTCTGTTCCACATAGGTACATTCTGGCTCTTTTCTTTTCTGCCTTGCTTGTTTGGGAATGCTCCATTCTTGTGGCTTGCTGAAGGGGATGTTTTCATTCTTCATTTCAGGACTTTGCAACTTTTGTCCTCCCATAACCCAAAAGCTACTGCTAAATTTCTCCCCATATCAGGTGCAACTCAGTGGAAAGGGGAAAAGGTCAGAGCATAGAAAAAGCAGAACCATGGCTCCAAAACCAAGGAGAACTCTGGAGAGCAGAGAAGAAAAAGCCCCATAAGGAGGTTCTCGTGATTGCTCTGCCCACAGCACAAGGAGGCATTCTGCCTCTCTGAGCCATAATGCCTCCTAGTGCTGCTCCAGGTTAACACAGCTGCACATCTCCCCTTCCTAAGGGCTCTGAGCTATTAGCATCATCTAGCCTATACGGCTGAAGTGGATCAATCAATGGGAAAAAAGAATTTTAGCAGATCTGAATGGCAAGTAGAAAATCATCTGTCTCTGGGTAGCAATAAATTAGGCACCCTGGCAGATGTATCTTCTTAGGTCACAGCCATTTCAAACCCTCCATTAACTAATGTGGAAAGATCAAAGATAGCAAAGAAAGCTGGCAGAATTTAAATTGTCACCCATCCTGCTTAGAACTGAATGAGTTTAATGTGCCATAATGTATTTTAATAAATGGAAACAGAAAAAGGAATGATCATTTCTCATAAAAAAGAATTTTTCTGATACTTATAGGAAAATCATTTAAAGGAAGAAAAGTATCTTAAATTCAATCAAGAGAAAACTTACTATACAAAGTCAAATGTATCCCCACATACATGCAGGGGTTCCATTTAGAGTGCCTAGGGGGCTGCAGCCCCTGAAGTTTGAATCCCTATATTTGATACTTGTAGTCTGCTTAAAGTACCTGCTGTAGCCCCAGATAGAGTTCTTAACTTTGCCAGCTTTGCCTTTTGGGGCAGGGAGTTTGTTTATGAACAGAGGGCAACAGGATGATTAAGGTAACAAAAGGCTTATCATTCAAGGATCATTAGATGATCATTAGATGATCACGTGAACTAGTGCTGTTCAACTTATTTATAAATTATCTTGAAAAAAAGGGTAAACAGTGAGGTAGCAAGATTTGTAGTTAATAAAAAAATATCAGTCCAAAGTGGATTGCAAAGAGTTCCAAAGGGATCTCGCAACTCTAGGTGATTAGTCAACATAAACGCAGTTGGAATTCAGTGTTAATAAATGCAAAGTAATGCACATAAGCTACATCTAGGCTGCGTCTAGACTGGCATGATTTTGCGGAAATACTTTTAACAGAAAAGCATCCATGCCCAGTGTAGATGCGCTTTTGTGCAAGAAAGCTTCAATGGCTATTTTAGCCATCGGGCTTTCTTGCACAAAAAATTAAGGTGCCTGTCTACACTGGCCCTCTTGCGCAAGTATTCTTGCGCAATAGGGCTTATCCCTGAGCGGGAGCATCAAAGTATTTGCGCAAGAAGCACTGATTTTGTACATTACAAAGTCAGTGCTCTTGCGCAAATTCAAGTGGCCAGTGTAGACAGCTGGCAAGTTTTTGCGCAAAAGTGGCCGCTTTTGCGCAAAATCTTGCCAGTCTAGATGCACCCCTAGATTGTAGAGTTAAATCGGAAAGAGATTTCTGATTTACTTTAGAAAGAGGCTTTTCTGAAATTTGGCATATCTACGTGGTGCCAAATTTAGGAAAAAACTGCTCTTTCGACACATCTTTTATGCCTTGCAGAATGAGTTTTACAGGGATGGTGAAAGAGCGTGTCTGCTTTTTCGAAATTCTTTTCAGAAAAGCGGACACATTCCTTGGACACCACATTGCTCTTCTGGGATAAATATAATTCCAGCTATACATATAAAATGATGGGGGTCTGAATTAGCTGTTACAACTCAAAAAAGAGATCTTGGAATCATTGTGGATAGTTCCCTATAAACATCTGCTCACTGTGAAGTGATAATCTAAAAAGCTAAGAGAATATTAGGAAACATTAAGAAAGGAATATATAACAAGGAGAAAATATCAAATTGCCTCTATATAAAGTCATGGTACAGCCACATCTTGAATACTTCATACAGATCTAAAAAAAGGTATATTGGATTTGGAAAAGATACAGAGAAGGGCAACCAAAATGATTAGGGATAAGGAAAAGCTTCCATATTAGGAAAAATTAAAAAGACTGGGACTTTTCAGCTTGGAAGATAAATGACTAAAAGGTGGTGGTAGGAGGGATATGTTAGAAGTATGGGAAATCATAAATAGTGTGGAAAAACTGAATAAGGAAATATTATTTACTTCTCCTCTAACATAACACAAGGGCTACGTCTACACTGGCCCCTTTTCCGAAAGGGGCATGTTAATTTCACAGGTCGTAAAAATGTCCGCCACTTTTTTCCGGCTTTTAGAAAAGCCGGAAAAGAGCGTCTACACTGGCCCCGATCCTCCGGAAAAAGCGCCCTTTTCCGGAGGATCTTATTCCTACTTTGAAGTACCTGGCATTGGCCACTGTTGGCAGATGGGATACTGGTTTAGATGGACTACTGGGTCTGACACAGTATGGCTGATCTGATGTTCTTATATAGAGCCCAAATGTATCTGCCCCCTGTTGTAAACCTCTAGACCCTACTCCCCTCTCAGAGCTAAGATAGAATCCCGGAGTCCCTAACAGACTCTCTTTCACTCTCTCCCCCTCTCTCTCAACAGAGTTAGTAAGATAATAAGAATATACATTAAAATTTTAAGTCTAATCAGTGTCCCTTAAGTGACTTACCATAAGATGTCAGAAATATTCATTTCAGAGGGGTAGCCGAGTTAGTACGTAACAGGAAAAACTTTAAAAAATAACGAATAGTCTAGTGGTTGTCTATAGGAGACTATGGGTCTGTCTCCCAGAGCCTCTTTGAGTATGGTATCCTGTTCCAAT